GTTTTTACAATGGGTGGCTCTGTAGCTCTCCAGTCTGTCAAAATATTTTTTTCTGGAGAGTTACAAATCTGCAGCTAAGTAGTTCTATGAAAAAGGTAAAGATAACAGTGACCAATCTCAAAAAAACCTATAAAAATACACATCAGTGATTACAGAGCACAAAGCATGGACCCCTGGAAATATCGAGATGGGATAAGGTGCCTAGGAGGAGCAATTTAATACAGAAGACTTTATGATTGACTTGATCTTGGAAAAAAAATTTAATATTTCACCAAGATGAACTTCAGCTTACTCAGTATACTGGGTATGAATCAGTGAGCTATGTGTAGCATATAGTTGACATATGATTACTATAAAACTGGCACACATACTGACTTGTAGTGAACAATGGAAAACCAATATGCAAAGATTTTTACGAACAGTGATAATCCCAAAATGCCAAAAGGAAAAGATCTCCAATTTACAACTTTTTTTACGGTCCTGGATGACCAATTGCAAAATAGTTATCAGAGATCTGAAGAGTTTCTTCAAAGCTGAGATAGACCTTATTAAGTGTGATATGACAGACAGGCAGATGTTGGCTGGGGAAAGACAGCTGAAGGAAGACAGACATGAAGAATACTACATGTAGTTTTGTACATAATCAAGATTAGTGTTACAGGTATGCCTCTGATGCTAATAAGATGCAAAAAATATATTTATCCTCTTTATCATGAATTTATTTGCATACATATTTAACAAAAAGACCTGTGCCAGATAATTATTTTAACTTGTGGCAATATTGGAGGGTGGACACTGAATTTGGCCTTGACTGTTTCTACCTTAATTATCTTTTTGTGCTTGTACTGAGAGTTGTAATTTCCATGCTATATATAGATAACTTTCATGCAGAAGAAGTTTTTTAACTGACCTGCACCAATACTGGATCCAATGGATGACAGTTTTAGAATTCTGCTCCAGGTCTCTAATCTCAGAAATGTGTACAGTCCTAGAAGAATTAATGATGCACTTCCTGTCAACATACCCAGAATGGCCATTGCTCGTGCACCACCCATCCAGGCTACAATATAATAAGGTGTATATACAAAAAAGTGAATTCATACAATCATGTATATCATAATCAAGTTTATGCAAATAACATGAAAACAATACAGGACTGGACTGCTCATTTATGTAAAGTTTTTCTACAGTGTTTTTGACATCAACTGGAATCAATTGCTTTTATAAAATCTGTTAGGTGCCATGAGAATCAAATGAAATATGTGTAATAACATGTCAATTCTCTCTCTTTCTCTTTTAAAAACCTGTCTGTAAAAATGCTACATATTCATATTGTATTATGATACAACAGAAAGTGTATAAAATAAAGAATTTGAAAAAACTATATGCAGTGTATCACTCAATTTGTATGAATTCTTAATATTTTTAATTTGAAAAGCAGACGCTAAATAAACTCATCACTATTTGCAATCGTTTCTCTGATTATAATTTCAAACAAAAATCTGTCGATCTTTTCATCAATACTTGAACATGATCAAAGACGATCGATATCTCTTCCTATTTTTCCCTGGGGGTAAAAGACAAGTATCATAAAAAATGAAACAGGTCTTTTTTACGGGTACAATAGCATGAATAGAATTTAAACATTTTGATCATAAATCAAAGGTACACCTCCTTCACATAAACTGAACTGAGATAATCGTATTATTACATTTTCAAGATCAGATATATTCTGCTCATTTTCAATAAGTTTTGGTCTTACCTTCATCGGCTATGCTGGGTGACATACATTTTGTGGCTCCTGTCCAAGATATACATTCTATCCATAAACCGGCATTTCCTATCTGTAACACTTTTCCTGTATATAGTCTAGAAGAGGTCAAGTGCCAGTATGGCGAGGCTATGGCCACAATATGAAGAATTCCGCCTAAAATCAACACTCCAATCGCCGCTAAACCGAAGATAGAAATTTTTCGGTCTATCGCCATTTTTGTTTCTTTTCACTGTGCACAACAAACGACCATGTGTCGACACACCTTTCTGCCCTGAGTCATTGGTTGTAAATTTAGACACCTGACTAAAACATTACTAATGGCGGTAGAAGCTTCTAAATATTGTGAACTGTTGTTTTGGTCAATATTGATCTCATTGTCAATTGATTTTCACCGGACACAGGTAATCTCTTACCTTTTTTGTTCCAGAATTTGAAATGCGTCCTCGAAACCACCGACGCGAGACGAAAATTAAATTCTGAATGGAGATTTTGATACTGAATATCGCTGAACATCTAAGCCCCTAGCTATACGTTGATATCATACAACATAGTTAAATTATGCCCACAAGTTATTGTACTGGATCAAAGATCGGTCAAAAGAGAGAGAGAGAGAGAGAGAGAGAGGAGAGAACACATCTGTGATTTTGAGTTATCTTTCTTTGCATGTTTTCATGCAAAGCCTGTAATTTTTTTACCACAGGCACATGACTACTTATTTCTTTTTTAAAAAAAAAGTAACACCCTACCACATTCACTTGTTTCTGAAATAAATTTTCAACCTATAGTATACAAGTAATAATAACACAAGGTATCTAAGTCCAAATTACACAGAGTACCCCCCGCCTCAGAGGAAATGTATTGGCAATATATTTATTACCATTGTCTTCTACGATCTACACATCCATATGCGGCATGCATGCATGTCTTTGTTTTCGTTTATTTCCGTAAACACTAAACAGCGTCAAAACCCTGCTCGCCGAGTGGAAAAGTCGAACTAAACCATAAAACGGTATGTGCTAATCTCGGGCAAAAACGAAAATGAAAAAATGCGTGGATTAAAAAATTAAATTCGAGATTTTAAATATTGCACTGAATAAATAAAATTTGATTATGTCTCATTTTCCATAAAAACGCTACCACATATTTTCGATGTAATTTTAGACGCATATTTTTAGCCAATCAAAATCTCTGTGCGGGATTAGCACATACCGTTTTATGATATAGTTCAACATTTCCACTTGGCGAGCAGGGATTTGACGCTGTTTTTACGGAGATAAACGAAAACAATGACATGCATGCTATATATGGTTGTATAGATAAATTATCGTAGAAGACAATGGTAACTAGTGCTAATTGTAACGGGAACCGTTACAGATGTTCCCCAAACGCTCCCCAACTCCCTTTTGGTGCCATATTCCCTGTAAGCTTCATTAAATAAGACAAACTCTGTGCATTTTTGACTTTAACAACGTTTTCCCAAAAGATACCAATTATATTCATATTTTAGCATTGCACCCAAGCGCATGTACGTGAATGCATGTGCGTTATGACTATATCATCTTGTCTACACTATCTATATATTTTAATATACTATATATTAAAGCATTCAGTCCAAAAGAAATAAAAATCACTCATTCAAGTGTATTTTTAATTATACTCGTTCTAGATGCACGCACGTGCGTGCACGTGCATGATGACCATACCTTCTTGTAGGAGTCCTTTACATCTATCTCTGTTCTAAATCCCATCCGGTTTGGTTGAAAAACAAGAGAGTTATAGCCATTTCAAGTTTCAGCCAATCAGATTGCAGCACACGTGCATGCGTGTGATTTCATGAATATTTTTCTATACCATATTGTAGGTTATCCTAATGCATGACTATATTTTAAATTTCAAAGAATTTCGTCAAAAAACAAAGGATATATAGCCATTTAAAGTTTCAGCCAATCAGATTACAGCACGCGCACATGCGCATGCTTTCATGAAAATTCTTTTATATCATGCTGTAGATATTCATAATGTTGGACTATGTTCAAAATTTCAAAGGATTATGACAAGAAACAAGAAAGATATTGAGACTTTAGTTTCAGCCAATCAGAGCGAAGCGCACGTGCATGCGCGTGAGATCTTGCTATTTTGACCATGCTATCTTATCTATACTTCTAATGTATCCTTACATTATGAGTTTCAAAAAAATTCATCAAAAAATAGAAAAGTTACTACAATATCCATTATATTGGTCATTTCACGTGTTGCACGTGCACGCTCTTGCAAGCACATGCACGCAAAATGACCTTGATTACGCAAATCTACATAACATGTCTACTGACCCTAAAAAGGTTTTACCTACATCGGACGAACAGTTTACAAGATCATTCCCGGACAAAAAAGTACCCAGGAAGAAGAAGAAGAAAAACTAGATGCGTTCTTGTTGCTAAAGCAACAAGCGGTCTTCCGACCGACTTTTCGTTTGAGATCTATACTGCGGGTTCCCATGAAATAGATTTCAGAATGTATTTTTTTCTTTTACGTTAATTTACAGCAGTCTCTCAGCATATATCATGATTATTACAGAATAAACCTTAAAATATCTTTAAATACAGCTTTTAAAAATTGGCAAAATATTTCATACATGTTATTAAAGTGAGAAAAGTCATTTACAATTGAAAAATGATAGAAACAATGAAAAAATTTGGGAACGCCCACGGCGGGATTCGAACCCCCGACAGTGGGACAAAGTTTGGTTCGGTTATATCTTTTCAATAAATGCACGCATCAAGATACTGAACACATATTTAGAATTCTCATAAAACACACTATAAACCCTGTAAATCCTAGAGAAAAATATTGAAAAACAAAAAAGTTGAAAAATGGGACTTTTTGAATTCACTTCCGTTTGCGACCGGAAGTGCCGACGACCAAAAATAAAGGTCGTATCCCATAATGGAGTTCAATGTTCTATCACCTCAGTGAGTTTCACTTTCATATCTTTAGCCGTTCTCGAGAAAACTGCTGGACAAAATGCCTTTTAAAAATTACAAAAATCCCCCAAAATCGCAAACGAAAGTGAATTTTGAAAAAATGAAAAACACGTCTGGAGATATTCTCATGATGCATCATTCCTGTGAAAATCTTTTAAATCCGTCCACGCACAGCTGAGATATCGCCCTAACTATGAAAAAAAGAAAAATAATAATAATAAAAAACAGACGAATAACAGTAAGGTCTTCCGATGGAAGTCGGAAGACCTTAATAATAATAATAAGAAACAGATTAAAAACAACATGTTCCCCAACTTCGTTTGGGGAACATAATAAACATATTGCCATTGCATTTCCTCTGAAATTTTAAATGAGTGCGTTTCTGAGGAGGGGGGTACTGAGTGTAAATCGGAGTTAGATACCTTGTACTATAGGTTAAAAATTTATTTCCGAAACAAGTGCCCGTGCACCCTACCTGTGGTTATAACCTATACGTAGAACAAATCATTAGTATTCTTTAGTATCATTTATTTCGTACAGTAACAGACGTATTTATTGTAACCCCCATCCCCGAAATAGGATTTTCGAGTTTGGACAAAAGACAGATTTTTTTGCATGTCAAGTTTTTTTTGCTTTGAATTTTTTCTTTCAATTAGCCCCCCTCCCCCACTTTGAAGTTGCTTCCGTCGCCAATGTGTAATAAGCCTAATAAATCAAAAACCCAAAAGAATAATTCCTTAATATTTTCCAACAATATATTTACTTTTTATTACTTTTTCGATGGAGCTAGAGATGTTTAACACTACCTACTACGTCTATAGTGCACTAAAAAAACCTTTTGTTACAAGTATAACTTTGCCCTGAACACAAGTAACAGCTTTTTAAAAAGCTTGCCTGACTAAATCAATCAAGTATCTGCATGATGAGTGATAAACCTTTTGAGCAATACTTTTGTGGGTTTAAAATATTATGTTCTTACTTTATATTTTGAAAACCTTGTGTAAATGAAATCCTTGATTTTATTTAACTTACAGAAGAATCATCTTTACACTGCATACTAAAGAATTGTTATTCTGTTTTTTGGGGGGGGGGGGGGGGGGGGGTCTGCAAGTGGAGTGATCTGCCCTTGGATCTAAATTGAAAGCTACATTGCACCTGTTATACGATATCTATATCTGTTATGAAATCATGCATTGTAAACATTTTAAATTAAAAGGCATTAAAAATACACAGTCATATTGTTGGAATGTAATAATAGTTCCATGCAAAAAGGTTAAAGTAAGTAAACACTAAAGTATTTACTCCAGTAATATCATTCTTTTTTCTTAAAACTGTTTCTTTTAAAATGCAGGTAAAGAATTCCAATGTAAATCAGCTTGCACCAAATCTAGCTCTCTAGGTATGATCTATTAGTTTCGGATCTTGCAAATATCAATCCTTATACAGCCTGACGCCGTGACGTCAGGCAATGACTGTCCCAAGGTAACATACAAAGTAAATGTGCATAAAAGTAGTACTTCTTGAATTCTTGCGCATTACAGACCATCTGATTTTAATCAGATTGATCCAAGGGGCATATTTGCATTCTTCTTAGAGTTTATTAACAAATGATAGATCTCCTCAATTTCTAAAATCTTTGTCAAAATGAAAGTGCCAAAATAACAATTTCAAGAGTACCACACCAGGCCCGTAGGAAGCAATATCGGCTTGAGGGGAGGGGGCAGCCATATATATTTTCAGTTGGGAGCACTCAACTACTACTAAAAATTCTTTGACAAGCAAAAAAAAAAAAAGAAAGAAAAAGAAAAGAAAAAAAGGTCATCAGGCGTTTTCATTGAGGGGGCACGAGTATACAGTAGTCATGTTTTCTATATCTGTTACTCATAGGTGCTTGAGTCAAGGTTCGGATACTGTATATTCTCTATATAATGTATTGTCGAGGAAATTCGAACTATACTCGTAACAATTTTTTTCAGAGTGCAGTGTTGATTTTTATTTTTTTGTAAACCTTTCTGCTTCATATATATACTAGAATCTGAATGTCACGGAAAATCGATTTTATATGCACGCTTTAAAAATGACATATCCTACTGTATACTAAAAAGAAACAAGGCTTGCAACGTTAGGCCTACTCCATGTTTTCTATAGTATACATAGTTAATTATAATTATATAAAAGTATACTTGATGTTTTCTATAGAATACTCTGTATACAGGCAAAATAAATTAAAGGGGGGGGGGGTCCTTCGGCCATGCCAAACATTTTGGTGATGGCAACCAGTCTGTCTGTATGCGATCGTACAAACAACATAATATGATAACCACGCAATCATGATTTGAACATATTTTATTGTTTAATATTTATGAGGGTCAGAGGTCATAGCGCGACCGAATCACACGGCGATGTGATATTTGCCTACATATTTCTATAACGGTGCAACTGGTTTTGGAATATTTCTAAGTTAATAGCGATGACAAAGATAAATGTTTAAAAGATAAGGATATTAATTTTTCAATCAACAGATGTACAATAGATCTTCTTTCGATGTGAAGAATGTATTAAATACTAGGCCTATAATTAGCCTAAAACCTCACTTACCTTTTTTTAATCCGAAATTCCTAATTGGAGTTACATGCATGTAAACTAAAACACACGATTCCACCGCTTTTGACTTCAAATATATCAAGAATATTAAGAATTCATGAAATAGTAAGATTATTCTCAGCAGTGATCATTATTCTTTCATTACGCACAGAGAATTCCTGAACTTGACTGCTGAACATCAATGTAAACATTTAAATTTTGGAGCGAGGCGAACTACTTTTAAGCCTAGGTCATTGCGCGTCACAACTTAGCAATACGGCGGCCCGTTCGTGTAATATTTGAGTTGAACTCGAAATATTTCGTTATAAAATATAAGAATAAACAACATGTTTAAAAGTTCACAAGGAATGAACTTACTAGTTGATCACGTGATCAAATCCTGTGAAGCCCGAAGAACTTTTTAACGTTGTCTATTTCAAACATTTTAAAAATTACAAAGGGAGTTGGCACAACTTCTGAAACTTATTACTCCCTCTCCAAAAATTACATATTTAAGCTGTCAAAGTTAAACTTGAATTTTTTAAAGTATACAACTTTGCAAAAAGTTAATCAATCGATGTGAAGCGAGTCTATGCGAGTGGATCTAACATATCTGATTTAAGTTCTAACAGAGTGGATCTAACATCTGATTTTAATTAGATTGGCATGGACCAAGATACTTTCAGAACTGAAAAAGAACCGGACATTTGATTTTTTGCCAGGGGTGGGGAGATGAACTAAACTGATTTTGTGAATTCTGTCTTCTGCTACTTTTCATCACTTTTATCAATTGAAAATAGTTATATGGGTTTTAAATGTCTACAAATGGCTATATTCCCTTTAAAGTCAAATGGCCTATGCCTTCACAAAACATGACCATATGGGGGCAACAAACTAAATTCTTCTGGCAAGATAAAAAAATCAATTTTTTAAGCGTTAGTGTTGAGTGGAAGCACAAGAAATACAACTGTAATATATAGGGTTATTGAACTTATATTGGTGAATAATCGCACAAGTTGGCTGTACAAATGCCCGAGCTTGTGAGTGCATTTGTACAGCCAACGAGTGCCAATATTCACCAAGATAAGCTCAATAACTCCTTTATTATATAGCTAAAACATTTCCTCATAATTTATAATAATTATTCAAAAAAAAAAAAAAAAAAAAAAGAAAAAAAGAAAGAAAAAGAAAAAAAACCCTCAAATTAATGATTTTTTTAGTATCGGTATTCAACGCCTGTCCAAAAAGTATTCAATATCGCATCATTCCGATGATGACTCTACCGAGCGACTCAGCGTTATGATTTACTAATAGATTTTAATGGGTCTAATACATACTAAATTTTTAATAAATACTTTCATTTTCATTTTTTGTGTAAAAATTAAACACATCTTACCTAGATGCCACTTCCTTTCTTTAAGGATGTATTCACTTTAACAAAAGAATTGACCTATAGGAGAGAACAATTTCCCGGAAGAAGCGACATTTAAAAATCCATCTTTATTTGTTGTTTTCTTCCGTATATATGTCTAACAAATTTGTATTTTATACTTAAAATTTATTATTACAACTATACAACAAACCTCCAAAGTTGACCGAAACACCATTTCGTCCGTTAAAACGTTGATTTTTGTATGAATTTTGGCCTTGAAGTCATTATTATACATTTGGAGATAACAAACTCAGAAAATCAATGAAAGGGTTCTTCCTACCTCTACTCACTGAAATACAGTTTTAGGGAAAACAAATTGTTATATGTTTTCAACCTAATATGTCATTAATCAGAACGGTAATCGACAAGCTTTTTGTAGAGAGGAAAACCAAGCCCGGTCCTATAGGTCAGATCCCTATTTATGATGAAGTGATCCTTTAGCTCTGAGAATTTGACCAGACGACTTTTTTTGTTTACAACGGGGCGTTCGATATTGATCGCTTGTATTCGGAATGTTTCGGGCAATGTGTATATATGTACAAACTCAGCGTTCAATAAAACGTCAAAATATTGAACAATAAAATTCTCTAGATTTTTTGCAGTATTTTATTAGAGACTATTTATTAGCTATATAATAAGTCTTTTTATTGGTCTAACTACATGCATTATGATATACCGAAGGAATGAGTAAATTTTGAACTCCCCCCCCCCTCCATGATACTTTCATCCTCCATGTCATGTTGTAAAATTAAATTAAGGCGGGTGGCAAGAGATACAAAATTGTATATTTTGTATTTACTGCCACTCAGTTAATTTTAAAATTTACAACAGGACATGCTTTAATCAGAAGTTGCTGATCGCGCGTCTACTATTTCCAATCTTCATTTTATTTATTGATTCCCTGTGTTTTGATTGGACGAGAACACGTTTAAGAAAAAATTCACACATCAATAAATTTTTAAATCAGAACTACTTTCTTGACCAAGCTTCTAGACTATCGTATAAACAATGAAAGCAGTTGTTTCTGGTATGTTTTAGCTAAATTATGAATACAAGAAAATTCAAATTTAATTGAATAAAACAAAACTGGCGACAAACAGGACTGACCAGCTGACGGACGCCATGAAAATGTTTATGCCGGTGTGAATTTTAAAAATCGCTGATGTCATATTCTCGACATTCATAATACGAAGCAAATCAGCTCAGTTTGTATCATTGTGACAGGGAAAAGAAACGTACCTCAAACGCTAGCATCAAATTCATATTAGTACTTTTTATATTCTTCCCCAATCTTTGAACAAACCAGTGCAAATCGAAGGCGTCGTCGCCAGACGTCGGTCTGCAACTTTCGCTCTGAGCGTTGTCGTTATCACATGGCCATGGTCAAGGACGAACTATTCTAAAGTAAACTCGTTATAATTACGATATTTGTTGACTTAAACAACATTCGATAAGTTTTTATAAGTTTATTTATTGATTGTTTTGACACTTTAAGTTGATCTCTATCGAAATTCATCTCGATTACGTTTCTTTGCGGTATAAAGTATTCCTACGCCGTACAGAAATAACGGATTGTATGGAGGCCTCAAAGAGAAATAATCTAAATAATTTTAAAAATTCGTCATTGGAATTATGAAAAAATTATCGATGTGTAAACTCTTGACATTTTACTCACAAACTTAACATAAAAGTGCTTCGCACTTTTATTTAGTTTGTGAGTAAAATGTCAAGAATTTACACTTCGATAAATTTTTCAAAAAAAAAAAACGTTTAATCCTATAATAATAGGGTCGTGAACAAGTGTTACATGTAAAGTTTAAATCTAAAGTTTTAACTTATCTATAACTATATGTTTAAACTTTAGATTTAAACTTTTAATGCAACACAAGCATTGAAAAAGATAACTGAAGGGAAATGCACAAGCGTCTATAAATAAAAATTGATTGAAAGTTGATATGGCAAAACTGCCAACCAAGAAGGTTTTAAAACAGCAAACTAAGGTTTCAGAATTGCGAATAAAAAAATTTAAGGTTCAAAATGTAAATATTAAAAATGCAGACATGAAGGAAGATATTTGATGAGAGAGTATTAAAGAAATGGAAAAAATGTAAATTTCGGCATAAAATTTAGCTATGTTTTTAGAAATTTGCGAAAAGGGGTAATCGATGAAATGAGATTTCCTTTTTTTTTAATTCTTATAGACAGTTAAAACAGAGATCCAATTAAATTGTTCTTTTTCTTGATCGTGAGTTTCTATGTTTCAGGGTGTAATAGAAATGATAAACGTTGCTTTCTTTCATCATGTCAGAGTATTCAATACATCTTTTACAATAACAGTGAAAAAAAAATTGGATTTGAAGTTTTCCCATTTTAAGAACAGAGGCGTCAGCATTCATAACACACTGTATATGTACATACTGATGCCTTTTTTCAAAATATGCAATTGGAGTGCTGGAGTTCTTTTGAACCAAAAATACAATATTTTACAATAGACTCTATCCAATATATTTTATAAAATACCAAGTTCCCATGCATGTGAAAATCAAAGATTTACACATAACGTCCTATACTGCTGGGTTCTTATTGATTGATTTTTTAATGTTCTGTTTACTTTGTTTTTTTTCACTTAGCTGTACTTTTATTAGATCTTTATATCTGTAGACATTGTTATGAAATAAAAATGCCACTTATAGATTTACCAACGAGTGATAAATCATTTAAAGGTAGCAATTGCGCGGGAAATAATTTGCGGTTCCGAACATCAAGATCATACAACCTTGAAAGCACACAAGCTCAAAAGAAATTCATAAAATGATTGATAATTATTCCACCGAATTATTTTAAAAAATCCTTGATTCAATAGTAATTTTTCTTATCTCTGTAGAAAGTTTTAAATTTCATACATTTATATACTTATTACGATTTCATCTACAAATACAGCTTTCTAATAGCCTACTGTATAGGAGATTAATTTCACGGGTTGTAATTTTCACGTTTTTCTCTTCTCTGACACGGTCGCGGTTTCTTGATTTCGCGGAATTGGTATATAAAAAAGGTTCCTCCCTTATCTTTACCTATTAAAAGCTTATTCACTGTTTCTTGAATTCACGGATTTATTAACACCGTGAATATAGCGAATATTAGCACCGCGAGTTATTTTCCCCCTATACAGTATTTTCTACATGTACATATATACGATCCGACCCTTTGTACAAACGGACGAACGACTAAGATTAATTAAACTTAAGTTCATTGTAAAATCTTACAAAAACTATGTTTCTGTTAAAAACTGTTTGCAAAAAATATCTTTTAAAAGACTTTTCATACAGATCAATACCATTTTCAATGCAATGTAAAATGGAAATTTTTTTTTTGCATAATAACATTCTGATCTTAGTCATAAGTTCTTTTGTAAAACGGGGCCGAGGTCTGGCAGTCTCAAACTATTTCCCATATGCCACTGACTTAAAATTTTCCGAGACTATTAAGGTACCAACAGTACAGTGTAGTATAAATGTCAACTTGTAAATTTATTCAGCCTTATTCTCCCATATTTACATTGTATGCGACAGCAAGGTCTATCACCTGCCACGGGAATATCTTTTTTTAATATTAAAAATGAAATATTATAGTTCCACGACAATTGAGATAGAAAATAAACCGTAAAAGTATCACTTGGAAATATAAACAAAAAGGACCGCATTTGACCTGGATTTAGAGATAAACTACGGCGTTTATTTATGGTTGTAGGTAAGTGGAATGTCAATATTGGCCTGTCCCCCCAGGCTCGATCACCCCAATTTCGTGGATTTCACACATAATGAACTTTTGACTGGAACAAAATGGTGTATTGGACATGTGGAGGTACGTTTTAAATTGAAAATTGTGAGTTTATATAGCAAGTATATACTGTTTGTATTATCAGCGAATGAAAAAATATCTTCTTTATAGAAATGTTTGCAAATTATTCATTTCATGCGAGAAAAAAAAAATAATGAACCGTCATTTTAATCAAACTTTGTTCTATAAAAGTCAAAAAGAAGTAAAAAATTAATTGAAACGGATGCATGTGTAGATCCCTAGGAAACAGGTAAAACGCGCGGTAATTATTTTAATTAGAATACGGACAAGAGAGATCTACATAAATGTAGGTCAAATTTGTAGCCGCAGTTCTCAATGCTTTAGGGTAATCCTTCGTATGTATGTGTTGTTCTCCTTATCACCAAAATACATTTAGATCGCCCTATGTCAAGAAAGAAACGGTGGTAAATCAAGATAACCCTTTTTAAATTTATTGATTTTTTTATTGCAAATTATCAACTAGTTATGATTCATTTACCTTTTTGTCAAATCTAATTTCCCCTCTCATTAAGAAGCACCCATCAAATTCATATGGAACGTATTTAATGTGCATTCGTTTTGTTAATGTTAAAATCTTTTGTGTTCTTTAGGAAAATCTTGGAAATGATTCTAATTAATGAAATTTAACATTTTCAGACATGCACTGTTACTAATTTCCACTAGCCACAGATCTTTTTAATTAATATTACTATTCACAAAACGTGCATTTATCAAATTATATAACTTGTGATATAGGTGCATCTCATGTAGATCTATAGCTCAAAAATAGCGCAATATAAAACGAAAAGTCACAGCAATTCCTGACAGCCACATCATTCACACTATGTGCTCCTGTTAAATACCTGTCATTTTCTTTTCCTGATTACAGTAAAAAATAGAAATGAAGCTCTGGACGTATCTTGGAGCACGAAGAACGCTATAAAGTGAATTTGAAGATGGCAGACAAAAGCCGATACAAAGTAGTTGCGTGCGCATTTTGGATAATTGCTGCTGCAGCCATAGTATGCACGGCTTTATTTACATCGATGTGTCTGATTGGAATGTAAGTAAATGTTTTTCTCATAAAAAAAGCTTTGCCCATTTTCACATATCATTGTGAAGTAAGCAGCCTGCTTCAAGAAAATCTTTCACATATCTCTGTTGGAGTAAATATTAAATAAATTGAGTTAAAAAAAACTTCAATCATACGAGTAATTATTACATTAGAAACAAGATAACCTTCTTTTTACAATTCTATTTAAATGTTTTAAGCAAACTATTTAATATATACTTGTAGATAACTATTTAAAAAATAAATAAATAAATAAATAAATAAATGTGTGTATTGACCATTTGGTTCTCCAACAATATTTTATTATATAATTACATGAATAATAATTTTAATTCTTTAAGATCAAACTATGGTATGGTGAAACTTAAATTTTCTTGATTTACTTTAGTATTAAGGGTTTTTATTGAAATGACTTCCTCGTTTTTTTTATGCATAAGATAACAAAATATAATGTACATTACACTGTATGTTATCCTGTGAATTAAAGGGATATGGACACAGTTTCAGCAGGATTAAAAAAAAAAGCAATGTTAATGTTTACCATTCCTAACTAAGACTGTTCTAATGATCAGGGAAATTTTCAACACCATTTGCTGATTTACAAAGAAGATTACAACTAAAAAGGCTCGTGCCTTGTTTTTGTTTACATATAGAACATATTTATTTATAAGAAAACAAGATTCAACAAATCGCTAGAAACTGTCTAATTGTACATAAAATTAATTTCTCTATTGAAAAAAAAATCTGCTTTGATCGAACATTTATAAGTATAATTTAACCTATGTAAACAAAAATATGGCATGGGCCCTGATTACATAACAAGCGTTTGGAGCTCTGAATCTGTCTTGTACCTCGACAACTGAAATTCATATTTTTGATTATAAGAAATACCTTAAGAGGTTAAATATTTGAAAACATAAAAATAAAATGGAAAAATAAATTATATATTTTTAGCTGAAACTATGTCCATGTTCCTATAAATGTTTGAAACCCTTTTCCTTGCAAAAAAAAAAATGTCCCAGAAACAAAGGCATTTTGCACATTCTCAGCCAATTTTTTACCCTCAACCCCTCTTGTAAACAAAAGAATTGACCAACTAATTATTGGTTCAAAATAAAGAAGTTACCTGGTACAGACAAATAAAGTTTTCAACTCCTTTATCTATGTCAATTCCATAACATGTGTAATTTATTGAAACTTTTATCCAAGTCAAATTGTGTCATTTGCTGTTCATTTTTGCTATCATATATATCAAAGGGCAGATCATTCAAACTTCCATAAGGTTTCTTGGATTTAGTTGATTCTTTAGTGAGCAGTGTTAAGAGCCATCTTGAGCTATTTAAAGGGACATGGACACAGTTTCAACTGAACTTTTAAAACCAATTTTAATGCTTACAAAACCTAACTAAGGCATCATCTAACGATCAGCAAAAATTTGAACATCATTTATTGATTAACAAACGAGATACAGAACTTAAAGTTTTTCAAAATGTAAACAAGGCTCGTGTCTTGTTTTTGTTTACATATAGAAAATATCATATTTACAACAAAATGAAATTCAGCAATTCACTAGAAACTGTCTAACTGTATTTAGAATTAACTTCTGTATTGAAATCATTTGCTTTGAACGAACGTATATTAGTATATTAATCTACATGTATGTAAACAAAACATGACACGGGCCCTGTTTACATAACAAAGGTAACGAGCTCTAAATCTCTCTTGTATCTCAACAACTGAAGTTCAAAATTTTGATGATCATTAGAAAGACCTTAGTTAAATATTCATAAAAATGGAAAAATAAATTTAAAATATTTTAGCTGAAACTGTGTCTATACCTCTTTAAGACAACAAACTCTTGGTATAGTCATTGTCATTTGTGTAAACATTGACATGCATTTGCCTAGTGTAACAAAGAGTCCATCGAGGTATAAAGGTCAAAGATGGGTGATTGACTGCAAGGTCAAAATACTGTCGAGCTAAAAATAAACCCGATAAAACACGAAATAGGTGACCTCATTAATCCTTTGTATGCAGTTCTTAAATGTATTTTACGCGAGTATTTAAAATCGCGAAATGAATGGAAACGACAATACTAAATAATACAAAATAAAAACGAAGTAATGTATTTCACGCTTGATGCTTAAAAATGTTTGCTGAGTTAAGCAATAGTTAAGCCATTGCTTAAAAAATAGTGTCTGAAATTCAGATGAGTTAGTTTACATATCCAATTGTTTTTGGAAACTTTTATTATAAACATGTGATAAATATCAGTAGTTTAGAATGATATGAAGATAACGAACAGTAATATAATGCTCGAAAACATTACAAAGGAGTAAAACTAACATGTGCACGGATCACTAAAACATCATAATTGGAATCAGGTGCCATAAGGGAGAGAGCATTCCCGTCTACTGATCGCTCTTATCATTAACTCCTTGTCATGTTCTTGGGAATATCAAATGCAGTATAATATCATGGCTAGAGAAGAAGTATGGAATAAAGTACTTAGTAAATTATGCAACTGAATTTGCGAAATGTGAACTGATATCCGTTATCATGAACTTGATTGTTAGCAGTCGAAGTCTATTTGGACATTTTGATACAATAAACATGATCTTGCTATTCGAATCAGTAAATACATATAGACACCATAAGTGGCAAAGGTGCATTGTTTTACAAAGCAGCAATGTTGAAAATAAAAAAGTTGAAGCCAGCACATTCATCATATAAAGTTTTTAAAGTTTTGTTGCAAGTTTTTCATCATCAATTTTTGGTTCTTGAAAACATCCAATTATCAAAAAGGAGGCTGAATTTTAACTAATTTATTTAAATTTGCTGCATTCCTTCAAATTTATCCAAATGAATTATATACTAGTATACTTGTATGTAAAAGAAACTGCAAGCCCTTTTTAATTACAGAAGCGGATGTTGTTCGAGCGATGCCTGTGGGATGCTGGAGACCATCACTATAAGTCTGGTCATTGTCACTCTTATGATGACATTCTTCCATTGCTACAGACAAAAGGTTGAAAAAATAATGAAATTTCAATATACACTAGTATCAGTCTTTCTTAGTACTACATACTAGTTTTAATAAAATATACCTTTAAAATCTGTTCCTATAAAATCTGTACGAAAAACGTCTAACATTTCTAGTGTTTACTGAACCAGCGGTCATAAAAAAATTAATGTTTGACCGCTGAGTGAGATATTGGACCTGTTGATGAAATGTTGGACCGCTAACTTCACCCAATGGGTTGGATCGGTTAAATCTCTTTTGCATTCGTTGGTATTCAACAGTGACGCAATTGATCGACTTTAAACTTAGTTTACATCTCGAAAGACAGAACAAGTTACATGCTTGTTAAAAATAATTAATTTAAATAAAGGTATAAAAATCATGTATTGACTGTGTTCTTAGCAAAATGCGTTTATCCGACCCTCGAACCAAGCTGTTTGCCTGAGGCCGATTGATTCTTGGGTTCGAAAAATCGCATATTGCCATCGAACGCTGTCAAAATATTTATAATAATATTGTTTGAATTATATTTTGTTGTAATTGTTGTAGATTAAGCATGCAGACTCTCCCAGTTTTTATGTAGAAACAATGAATCTTTCGTCTGACACGAACATCAATACACGATACACACCACTTCCGGTCAACATTTTTACTCAGGTAGAGGAGTATAGAGAAGACTTACTCAAAGCTGTACCGGAAACGGAAATACCAGAAGGTGAACATTCATCCTGAAAAAAATATTTTATAAAACGCTTACCTCTTAGACTCTTTATTAACTTTATGGAACTAAATATTTAATGCACCCAACCTGAAAAGATTCTTCAGTAATGGTATCTGGGTTTCGTTTATTCGGGTTTGTACTTGCTATAAATTATACACAATATTCTCAAAGGATTAATTTGCAAAGTATAGCCAAAGTAACTGTGTCTTTATGGTGTGACTGACCACCAAATTCTTAAATGCTAACGCCATTCATGGGTTACTACAATTTTGAGAAAAAGTCTTTTCACCTCATTTCTATTGTTTAGGCAATGAAAATTTTCCATGATTCTTGGACATTTCTTTAAGTTCAAGTCATAAAACCTTTCTGGACAACCTCTATCAGTTTAAGTAGGAAATGAAGAGATTGGATATTTATTAGTTCATGTTACATGTATATGGATGGTATACCATTTGTTTTAATTTGTAAGTGTCTATGTAAAGTCACATGTGTGTACACATGTAGTTTCCACATCATCCTTCAAATCTAATTGGTTTAATGCGTGTAGGTACCATGGTAAGTTTTTGAGTGCTCATTAAAGTTTCTTTCAATAAACGACAATAAGGTTCTTCTATTTTGTTTAATTTGCTTCCTATTATCCTTTACTATTATATTTAGCAAAATACATATAATAAGTAATATTTTTAATAAGAAGATCAATCAATCACCAGAAATTAACTGAATTACAGTTTTTAAAAAGTTCAAATTACTTAATAGCATAACATTTATATTTGATGCATTGACCATGAGATAAATATGACTTTCTCATTTATATTCAGAGTTTGAGTGTGCAATATGCAATGACAGTAGTACTAGCAACGTCTCAAGACTTTCTTGTGATCACTGTAAGTATATTTCAATCTGAAAATACGCTGTAAACACATTAAAGAAGTTAAGGCTCATTAATAAAAAAAGTAATTATAGACTGATTTGGCACCAAATATGAATAAACTGTTTGCACATGAGAGTTCCAACTGAGGTAATAATATCCCGAGGAAGCATGATACTCAGTGACCAATAAAGTTTATGATCCCCTTTTTCTGTATTTACCTGTTTCATATTTGGATATTTTACTTGAAAAAGATGTTAATGGTAATCTATCAATCAAGCTCTATGATAAATGTGAGGATTTTAACTTACCTTCATCACTTACACACGGGGTTTATATCTCTCAGTTGATACGCAAGAGCATGCTCTACGTATGATCCATTTCTTAAACGAGGCAAATTATTGACAACCAAGTTGATGAAACAAGAAAATCAGCAGTCTCATTTAAAGTCATCAATTTGAAAATTCTGTGGTCGATGCAGTGACCTTGTCAGCAAATACAATTTATCATTGAGTAAAATGCTGACTGACAAATTTCATTAGACCATTATTTACACTCCGAATTTACGACGGATGTTTTTATTATTTTCCAACCATGACAAGAAGCACATGGGGGTCGGCAGGGGATGCTCACTCCTCCATTGCACCTGATCTCACCTCTGATGTTTTGGAAGTCCGTGTGTGCTCTACTCCTATTTTGTAAATTGTATATTTGCACTTTGAGCTTACGTACTTTTTGTTATCTCCATATACTTCATTTGTACCTGTGAAATGTACGCTTACTGATTCTAGAAGTTGCATATTTATTTAGATCATAAACGTAGCAAAAAATTAAAACTGCAAATTATTTCACTACGCAGAACTTATGTTAGATATTATGAAAATATGCAAAATAGTTAAAATGAAATCCGATCTTAAGTTTATTGAAAATTTGTATTTTTTTAATCAGTGTTTGACACATTTATAAATGTATGTTATAATTTTAACGTGCATCGTTGTTTCGAGAAATACTGAGTACTAATACCTGTTGTTTACACCTTTTACTAGTTTTCCACAAGGCCTGTGTACTACAGTGGTTTATATCGAACTCCCAGCACACCTGTCCGATCTGTCGGAGTTCACAGATCCCCTCCAATCACCTGTTGATAATAACCGTCCTACCTAGTCTGAGTTCTCGACCAGCAAGAACTTCACAGGTAAGTATTTCTGAAATTACAAATGCTTCTGGTTTTTTTTGACGATTTGTTTTCGTTATATTTCATTTGAGAAGTCATAGTCATAAATAAATTAATCATGTCATACCAAATTCATGTCTTTCTTGTAGTTATAAAGTTCCCTGGAGATGAGGAAAATGGTTTACATCTTTAAAACAAAGAAAGTGTTTTTTTGTGAATCGTGAGCAGACTGCTTATGCTGAACCAGGAGACAGCAAAACTAAAACAGGAAGTGCTCATGTCTTCTTACATATAACTACACTTACACTTCCCAATGGAGCTGAAAGCCATCTAAAGCTAAACTTAAAAAGTGGCGAACAATCTTAAAAAGTGGCGTACAATTAGATAGTTACACAGAAATGTGTCATTTCTTGGCCCACATCTATATTTTAGTGATAAAGCACTTATTCTGTAAAGAGTTTAAGTGAACAATATAGAAAGTGTACACATAGTAAAGTTGTTAAACATCCGTAACTGAAAAGTATTTAAAAAACACATTAGTCGGCGTTCAAAATACAGTATTCAGAGTTGCTGGTACCGAAGTATTTCGAGTTTAATTTGGTATTGACATCCTTTTCTATGAGACAGCATAGTTTGATCGTGCTATGTACATAACTAACTTAATTAATTATGAGGAAATTATACATTTGTAATCAACTTATAGTTAAATGAATTTTACATCAGCTTTTAATATGGTTTGCTTGAAAAGTAAATGTCCTAAAAATACATGCATGTATGATAACAACGAAATAATTGCTGATTGTAATTCTTAATTAAATTATGACGAGGAGAAACATGATCTTTAGCTTTCTTATTATTCTTTTCTTTCTAGGTATATAAAAAGACTATTCACAGTTCAGAAAAGGTATAAATGCATTACTTTTTTAAAATTTCTTTTTAAAATCTTGCAAGTTCTGTATCGAAATGTGGAGTGATGTTTTCATTTCATCGATATTGGTGAGAATTAGAGGCATTGTGTTAAAGATAAATTGTGAGTTCGACTGTTAATCCGGTTCGCAATTATCGAAAATCAACTCCGATGAAGAAAACAATCTCATTATCTTCTGAAAATTATTAAAAGATTTTCCAGAAATTCATTGTTATTTTTACTTCCAATTTTACCTTGTATATACAGAAATTCTAAACAAATTAATAGTCATTAAAATAAGGTCTGAATTGTATGGTAATTTTGCTGAAAAGGTCTTAGTATCGACCAAAATCTAGCAAAATAATGACTTCAGACGAAACTACTGTTGACTTCCGTGTTCCATCAACTTTTATGTCTATAGCATGCCTCGTTTTATAATTTGTTCACATATCGAATCAACTGAAAGACATAAACCCCATATGTAGGTGATAATTGAATAAATGAAATTTTAATCCATAATTAATAGTAGTTATAGTTTTTAATACTTTGATACGAATGCATTTGAGGATATCTATTTTTTTTATTCATCAATATTCCATTCAGATCTTTTCACGTATGTTTAATATACAACCTTATTTACCTGTTCCAATTTTTAAATTGAATTTAATGAACGTATAAAGTTAAAATTGGATAGTTTGTCTATTTTTCGAAGCCAAAGAACAGAATATTTTTAGTATTATAGAGGGTCTTGTCTATGTTAAAAGAAAGTCATCAGATTATTGTTTAATTCGATGAAATATGCAGTTTACAGACAAAAGTCACAAAACAGTGTTCAAACTTAAAAGCTCATCCAAAAAATACAATGCCGCATACAAAATGCAATTATTTTTATATAAAGTTTTAATGTGAACATTATATCATATGTCTATCAAAAGTAATTACTAATGGTACATAAGTTGGAAAGTTGGGTCAAACGCGAAAATTAAGGGAAAGACTGACAAATCATAGTATGCTCAGGAATTTCTTGTCACAGGTAATACTTATGTCAAATATGAAAGTTCTATCTCTTCTCAATCAAAAGTAGGTACGGTCAAATATCAAGGTCAAGGTCACAGGATAAAAAAAATCATAGTAAATTTAGAAAGGTCTTACTGCAGGTAGTATTCATGAATTGTATCAAAGCCCTATCTTTTCACTTTCAAAAGTTATGACCAGTTTTAAGGTACAAAGACGCAGATTTTCTCAAATTTTCTTTATATCGCGACTTTTGCAACTACATGTATAGCATTTCGCAGGAAAATATATTAAAATATTATTTCATCTAAAAGTTATTGAAACTTTGCACTTTCACAAATTTTAATTTTATTCATAATACTTACAATGTAGGAAAAGTGGCAATCTTGTGTATTAATTAGAGAAAATTCAGAGTAGAAATGTTCGAAAAGCAAAACTTACACACAGTATATTGTCAGTCCGTGCAGTTGTGGTGAGCAGACTTTATTAATTGAACGCTCCAGGTGAACCGTAAACATCAACAATAATAGAGCTCGTGCCCTGTTTACAAAAACTGTGTACGTTTTACGGGTGTGATCAATTTGCTAAACTTTGTACACAACACGGAATGACGATACTTGTGAAATGGGTTGACTTTCTAACATTTCTACTCTGAATAGAATTATTTTTGCTGGATTAAAGTTTTAATATTTTTCATTAATACACAACAAGATTGCCACTTTTCCCAAGTATTAAGAATGAAAGTAAAATTTCTGAGAGTGCAAGGATGTGTCAATCAAACCCATCCAAAAATTTAAAGTTTCAATAACTTTAAGATGAAATAAAATTTTTAATATATTTTTGTGTGAAATGCTTTTAAGATATATAAGTCGTGATCTTATACAGAAAATATTAACAGTTACTTCAAATCTGTGTCCATGCACCTTTAACAGAGTTCGTGCACTGTTTACAAAAACTGTGAACGTTTTACGGGTGTGTTCAATTAAGGAAGCTCTAAACACTAACAGAAACTGGGTTTTTTTGAACTCAGGGAAAAATATATCATAAAAAGATATGCATATTGAGACTTTTTCATTTATTTAGAACATAGCCCACATGTATTTGTGCAGGAAAAATGTTCAAAGACAATGGATCATTTGTGAGCAGAGATCACTGTTGTTTACTTACATTGGGAAAATTAATGAAAATAATTAATCAATTTTTTTTACTCTTGGTCTTATATAAAGCTAAATATATCTCAATCTATTACAAGTTATGAAATTAACGGTAAATAACATTTTTTTTAAATCTTACATCTAAGGGCAGATCACTCTAACTGCAAAACTCTACCCAATAAATAAAGCTCTTAATTTTAAGTGTGCAATGTTTAGAGCGTTCTTAACTTGCTTAAGTCTATTCACAACACTAAGCGCGGATTGCCGATACTTATGAAGGGATTTGCTTTTGAACACTCCTACTCTGAATATAATTATTTTTCTAGATTAAAGTTTTTATATTCTTAATTAATACACGACAACATTACCATTTTCCCTAAATAAAATTTGTGAAAGTGCAAGGATGTGTCAATCAAACCCATCCAAAATCCAAAGATTATTAATATATTTTCATGTGAAATGCTATTACAATATATAAGTCTTAATTAATATTATGCAGAGAATGTTAACTTCAAATTTGTGTCTATGCACCTTTAATGTCATGTTCAAAAGTTTTAAAAAGTATGTGAAACTTGAAGACCAGAAATCCTGGTGATTGAGTTAAGTATTGTTGATGCCTCTCTCTTAGAACAAAAGCATTGGGCATGCATTTATGTAGAATCACTTGGACGTTTTGAAGTCGATAGGAAATAGGTCGCAACTGTTTTTTTTTTACCAAGCGTTCAACTCTTTGAGGTAAAATTTGCGAGTCCTTGGGATTAGCAGTTGAAAAGTGAGGCCCCTTGTCACTGCAGGCGTAAGGGACTCTCACTGCTCGATGACTCTGAAAGCCAGTAAGTATCTACATTTGAAGCAAATCACATGTATATAGTGCACGACGTCTCACTGTCGTTTTCTGCGTTTGAAATAGCCCGGAGTGTTCCCTTTTCCTGACAGTTAGGGAGACACTAATCATATTACAAGTGTGGAAATCATATATTTAACATTGCACAACAGAATAATTCTGAACAATGAATTTCAACTTTATTATTTTATTGCTCGGAATTTCTTTCTCATATATTGGTAAGTAAGCGTTAACGAATATGATATTAAATGATTTTTAAGGAAATTAATGCGAACAAGATAAAGAAATATTATTTTGTGAACTACTTCAAATTTGATCAGTTTTAAAACTTTAATTTTTTACCCTAATGCTTTTATTTCTGATATGTTTTTTATCACTATCTTTCATACATTATTTCGGAAGCATCTAACCTCTGCTATGATTAATAGGCGTTCAAATTAATTTGAAACAACTTTTCGAAAAAAGCCATAGCTTCCTTTCCGACAACACGGCCATAGGGGCAAAATGAAAACCAACTATCCATCTGAGTTCAGTAATTTAGAAGTGAAAAAAGAATTAGATAGTTAGATTACACAGTCAGTATGTACTTGTCCTTGTTGACAAAGCAGGCAACAACATTATCTTCGTTTGTAAGGTTCACTATTTACGTTGTATTTTAAAGGAACTGGGATTTAATGCTAATAGTGGTATTCCAACTTATACTTATAGTTCCCTTTCTAAGGAGTATTTTTTAAAGATATTCTTAGCAACCAGAATTAATTTGAATTACCATATCTACACTGGATTCCAAAAACTTCCAAAAAATTCTTCCAAAGAAAGATATATATATAGTGGATTCCTTTCTTTACTCTTCACTAACATATTAACAGTAGCGAAGGAGAAACTTCAAGAGTACTGTGCAACCCTATATTCGAGAAATAGTTTAAATAAGATGCGAAAGCGTAAAAGTTTCAAGAAACTTTTGGAAAATTTGAAATTTCAAAATATTACCAAAATCAACAGCATTAAAGCTTGAGTTTTCAACTTTATATACAACCATTCCCTACGATAAATTAAAATCTAGATTTTTGTTATATCATTGACAGCTGCTTTTTCAATAAAAATGGAATTCGTAAATTTATTCACCTTGTTACTCTTCTTTTGCAAACTTATTTTGTTAAGAAAAAACATTATGATTGTACACACTAGCACTCTGAAATTGATATCAAAAAGGTGCTTGAGTTTCTGATTGATAATATCTTAGTAGTTTTTGGAGACCAGGGTTTACAACAATCTATTGGAATTCCATTGGGTATCATGTGCCCCCCCCCCCCAGCTAGACCTATTTTTGTATTCATATGCAGCAGAATTTGTCCTAAATAATAAACACGAAAAGAAGAAATCACCCGCTGTGGCATTCAATCGACGACGTATTGTCAATTGAAAATGGTTATTTCCATTCGTATGTCGAAACGATATACCTCGGTGAGCTTGAAATAAAAGATACCATAGAGCATGATACATCTGTTTCATATCTAAATATTTTACTTGAAAAAGACGTTAATAGTAATCTTACAACCACGCTCTATGATAAATGTGATGGCTTTAACTTTTCAATCGTCAAGTTTCCTTATTTATGCAAAATACCCTCATCATCTGAACACGGGGTCTATAACTCTCAGTTGATTCGTTTCGCAAGAGCATGCTCTACGTATGCACAATTTTCTAAAACGAGGTAAGTTATTAATAAACAAGTTAATGAAACAAAAATATCATTTATGCCAATGTAAAAGTAAGTATAAGAAGTGTACACTAGACGTTTTACATGAGAAATGATCTTTGCCCAATACGATTCAACTCATTGATGGTTAATCGTAACCGACTTTACTAAATATACACTTTTGTAATTTCTACAAAAGTAGTAGTTGTACACTTAGGCATTCATTTGCCAATGTCAATTATGTACTTGTATCTTTAACTTTTTAAGAAGTAATAATTGAAAGGGGTTTCTTATTTTACAATAATTAGTTCGTTTAAGTTCCTTTACTCCTTTATTTTTTGTTAAATTTCATATGGATTTCGAGTTGTAGGGAAAACACTTATGGACTTGAGATTAACTTTGAAACATATTTTGCTTAGAGTAGGTTTGCAAAGAATAGTGTATGTTTTCTTTGGGAACAAACATTTTTTTTTTATTTTGGTCTTCGCCTTTGGGTCTGATTGTTTTCAGCAAAAAAAGTTGCTAAAGGAGTTTCATTATTTAATCAAAGAGTCATTAAAAAAAAGAATTCTTCTTTTGTTTAACAATATTATAATCCTAAGTCCAAGGGTCCAAGGGTTGATCTCGAAAACGGCCTTCAATGTATAGCTAAATATAGCCAAATATGCATTTTAATTCACTTATATTTTTGAATCCAGCAAGTTACTCAGTCATTGTGTATTTAAAACATATACCCTCAATTATTTTTCCGACAGTGTGAATTAAGAGATGAAACATTATACTTTTGAATTTCAATTGTTTCATTTAACGTTTCTATAGCGATGGAACAATCAGCCGTGATTCGGGATGTGCCTCTCAACTGGACAGAAGCAAGAAACGAATGCAGGGAGACAAATTCACATCTATTAAACTTCTTTGAAATGAAAAATAGGCTTGATTACTTCAAAAGCGCATTGATACAAAACACAAAGTACTGGGTTGCAGAAACATGGAAAGAAAAAATATATTTTGTGAAAGGTACGTTTTTTTGCATTTTGCACAGATAGTAGTATGATTATCAATAAATATTTCTATAAAGAAATGGATCACTTTGTTCTTTATTTTGATACTATATAAAGGTAGGCATATTTAAAAAAAAACTTCATTGAACGTGACTTTTATTTCTTTATCAAGGTTGTCAATCGAAAATTCAAGGATTGTCAATGGTAATTGATCAAGGAAATATCTTTTCCGAATGTGTGAAATATTGCGAAAATCAAAACTATACGACAATAGGACTACAGGTGAATTTCTATTAAAGATTATTAAATTATCTAATCAATATAATACTACATGTAATTTTACTGAAATTATGCATTGCAGGGATCCACTTGCTCTTGTATTGTCAAAGAAAATTTTGAAAACTTGGAATCCAACAGTTGCGACATTGAATGTGCTTGGAACAATATTTCATGTAGAGCGGAAAAATGTTCATTCGCAATTTATCAGTTGGCAAAAGGTAAAAAGGAAATATATATTGGAACACATTACCTTTTTTTAATTAAAGGTAGACTAAACCTCTTATGTGTACGATATCGGAAATACCCAATTTCTTCTAGTCTGTTTTCTTTAGGATTTTAATATTCAAAGTACCTCCAAAAGGTCAGAATTTTAAACATTGTGATCATTTCATCAACACCAATCGAAGACATTTTTTTATTTGCAAACCAGATTAAATTTCAAACTCAAGATTAATAATTGAAATATGTGGAGATATCATACAGTATTCGATTTCAAAAGTCCATTGAATAATACAAAATAGGAGAAGAGCAAACACGGATCCCAAAACGTAAGAGGTGGGATTAGGTGCCATGGAGGAGCGAAAATCTCCTGCCGACCGGCCACACCCACCATACGCTCCCTCTTTTAACAGCAATTTCTCGTCAATTACATTAAGAAGTACCGCTCAGTATGCTTTATATCACAATTATTCCCTTAAATCTTAGATATGGATAACGAAATATAATAATGCGCGATTTTGTACCGCGAAAGTTAAATTAGAATTTTTACCAAACCTTTTTTTGTAACAAAGAACCATAAAAGCACTATTCATAAGTTCTAGAGTAATCTAATATGTATCACATGCATATGTGAGTTAACATTTAACATTCAATTCAGATTTCGAGTTTCAGAATTTGAGATTGAAAGTTGTGAATTTCTAGTTTTCATAATGGTGCCCAGTCTTGGCATGTCCTGGCACCGCAGGCTTTAAAATCGTGATAATAATTTTTGAAAACGACAAATAATTTAAACTTATCAGTTTTAAACTTAGTACACTTAAGACATGAATTATAAAAGTATGAAAAAAAAGTCATGAATACATATGTACATGTAGATGTGTTTTGAGGAAATCTGGATTCCAAACGAATTTTCCGATTTTCCCGTTATTTCCCGATCATGACAAGGAGCACACGGCGGATGTGACTGGTCAGCAGGGGATGCTCACTCCTCAATGGCACCTGATCCCACCTCTTATGTTTCGGAGGTCCGTCTTTGCTCTGCTTCTATTTTGTATTGTTTTATGGTCTTTGATATTGAATACTGTTAGTTATCTCCATATCCTTCTTTTTAAGATAATAAATGATATGATAGATTGTCCACCCAAACAAAGATAATAACAAGAAATGGAAAACTGATGGTCAATAGTTTTTGCTTGTATCAAACAGATGTGCCTCAACGTCTTCCAGGAGACCTCTTCGACGATTGTGTTTATTATAACACGATAATAAAGTTTTCAAGAGACGATTGTAATAAAAAATACCACTTTATTTGTCAAGGTAAGTTATTTTTTTGCATTTTGAATACTATATACGGGGAAATTTTCGCCCCTTTCGCCCGTCTTACATTTAGGCGAATTTAAAAGGGGACGAATTAAAACAACACAGTATAATGCCTTAAACAAAACTGTGAATTTGAGTGAATTTGAAACGGGGCAGAATTGTTTGCAAGAGTGAAAGATCGAAAATAATACGGGGCAAAAAAATAACCTTGTATACATATCAGAAAACAAATCTGTAATAAAATTTTCATCACTTTTAAAACATTTTCGAAGGTTAACATCTATAGTCTGGTCCGATTTATAAAAAAATACTTCTAGCGGCAAATACATGTAATTATTATTTGGTCCAGCATAGTTTCTTTACCTATTTCGGGTATGCTAAATCCGAAAAAAATATGCTGGCCTTCATGAAAATGGCGCTAAATAGTAGGTCAAAATGGTGATTCAAAGTGGCGAACATCAAATTTTTCTAATTTTCTCTTAATGTCGTTCAAGTAGGAGAAAGGAATGTGTGAATATCTCAATGAGTGTAATGTAACTATAAAAATGAAAAAAGAAATCATGCTTACATTATTACTTTAATTTGGAAAATTTAGTTGTTTCTACACCTAATTCGAATTTTCTCTAATTTATTTGTCTATTTTTTCTCTATTTTGCTTAGTTCAGAATTTAGTTCTCCTATTTGAACAAAATTAAGAAATAATTAGAAAAAAAATGGATACCCAGCATTTTGAATCCCCATTTTGAATTATTACTTACAACTGCACCATCATTCAGTTGTAGAATAGTGAGATGCGGAGGAAAAAATACCAATCTGCAATGTATGTAAATTTACAAATGTAAAATTCTGAACAAAGCAGATTAGAGAACAATAGACAAATAAATCAGAGGAAAATCGAATTATGTGTAGAAACGACTAAATTTTCCAAATTAAAGTAACAATGTTAGCATTCTTTTATCATTTTTATAGTTGCATAACATTCAGTGGGGTATTCACACATTCTTTCTCATACTTGGACAACATTGAGAGAAAATTAGAAAAATTTGATGTCCGCCATTTTGATTCGCCATTTTGACCTACTTAACGCAATTTTTATGAAGGCCAGCATATTTTTTTCGGATTCAGCATACTCGAAATAGGTTTATAAAACTATGGTAGACCAAATAATAATTACTTGCCGCTAGAACTTAATTATTTCTAGCCTTCTTTTGAAAAAACAGGACCAGACTCATCATATATGTGAGCAGAAAAAATGTGAGACAAACGATTACGTGAAGTCTCGGACTATAACAGACTCGAACTGACTCGGCCTATAACGGAGTCGGCCTACATACTCGGCCTATAATAGAGTCGGCCTACCGCTCAAAACAGAAAGAAAATATATATTTGATTTTTGTAAATAGATTAATATTTTACCTCTTATATTAGATAAAATAATAATGTTCCGACAAGCCACCCTACTCTATGAGTATAATAGATTAATTAATGTAAATCGTACATGCAATGCCAATCAATGACACATGTGCTGCATACGTAATATTATATATTTGGGGTTTATTTGGGTTTATTTCTTCTGTATATATTTTACTTATTTATTTTCTAATCTACAATACTACTTTTGTTACTAAAAAGTTATAAATCATATATATTTGGAGTTTATGTTTTCTTTATATATAATTTTAATTTATTTGTTTTCTAATCTGCACTCCTCCTTTTGCTGTAATTCAAATATATCATTTTATTCTTATGGATAAATGATGGCACACTTTATGAACTGAAAAAATGACTTCTTTTCTTTATTATGCCAATGAATTACCCAGAAATGAAAAAAGATACATATTTGTTCATCAGGTTTATTTGTTTTCAGCATATGTATGTTCAACATCATCAGCAATTAACATTTTTAAATCACATATTCAATAATAAATAAAATATTTTCAAACTACATATTTAATTTATCATGGTGCACATAAAGCTAAATTTGCACAGAAAGTCCAGTCCATGGTGAAATGTTCACTATTAAGGGAATCACACAGTCAAAGAAGTTCACCGGATAAAATAATAGGGTTTAATTACATAGTGTTGAAATAACAAGTATACTATTAAACAAGAGGCCCATGGGCCACATCGCTCACCTGAACACTAAGGGTAGGAAAAAGTAGAAAATGGCTTTTTATTGTAAAATTTAAATCCAAAAGTAGTCCCATGACCAATCATGGATTTGCTATTTTTTAGAAAATGATTTTTAAAGAATTTTCCTTTATATATCTTTAAAAACTTTGGTCGGCCATTTTGGCCCCGCCCTACCCCTGGGGGTCATGATTTGAACAAATTTGAATCTACACTACTTGAGCATGCTTCCATATAAATATGATGAATTATGGCTTTGTCATTCTTGAGAAGATTTTTAAACAATTTTCCTATATATTTCTATGTAAAACTTTGGTCGGCCATTTTGGCCCCGCCCTACCCCCGGGGGTCATGATTTGAACAAACTTGAATCTACACTACCTGAACATGCTTCCATATAAATATGATGAATTACGGCTTTGTCATTCTTGAGAAGATTTTCAAAGAATTTTCCTATATATTTCTATGTAAAACTTTGGTCGGCCATTTTGGCCCCGCCCTACCCCCGGGGGTCATCATTTGAACAAACTTGAATCTACACTACCTGAGCATGCTTCCATATAAATATGATGAATTATGGCTTTGTCATTCTTGAGAAGAAGATTTTTAAACAATTTTCCTATATATTTCTATGTAAAACTTTGGTCGGCCATTTTGGCCCCGCCCTACCCCGGGGGGTCATGATTTGAACAAACTTGAATCTACACTACCTGAACATGCTTCCATATAAATATGATGAATTATGGCTTTGTCATTCTTGAGAAGAAGATTTTTAAAGAATTTTCCTATATATTTCTATGTAAAACTTTGGTCGGCCATTTTGGCCCCGCCTTACCCCCGGGGGTCATGATTTGAACAAAATTGAATCTACACTACCTGAACATGCTTCCATATAAATATGATGAATTATGGCTTTGTCATTCTTGAGAAGAAGATTTTTAAAGAATTTTCCTATATATTTCTATGTAAAAGTTTGGTTGGCCATTTTGGCCCCGCCCTACCCCCGGGGGTCATGATTTGAACAAACTTGAATCTACACTACCTGAGGATGTTTCCCCATAAGTTTCATCTTTCCTGGCCCAGTGGTTCTTGAGAAGAAGATTTTTAAAATATGCCACTAAATTTTCATTAATTCCCAATTATCTCCCCTTGAATGAGGGCGTGGCCCTTCATTTGAACAAACTTGAATCCCCTTCACCCAAGGATACTTTGTGGCAAGTTTGGTTGAAATTGGCCCAGCGGTTCTTGAGAAGAAGTAGAAAATGTGAAAAGTTTACAGACAGACAGACAGACAGACAGACAGACGGACAGACGGACGCCGGACAAAATGTGATCAGAAAAGCTCACTTGAGCCTTCGGCTCAGGTGAGCTAAAAACAGTACGCCGATATATTATGATACATGTAATAACATTGAAAATTTAATAGGTTTTTCCATAAGTTTTTTTATTAGTTGTTAAAATAACACAAGCGGTAGGCCTATATTTCATTAAGTAAAAACAATAATAAAGAACATTTTTAAAGAAAAAAGTTATTTATAAAACTTATTAAACATTTAAATACACTTCTTATTAAACATATACATAAGATTCAACGATATTCAGTATTTTTATAGGTATAGGCCGAGTCCTCAATAGGCAGTTTGTAATAGGCCGATTTAGTTATAGTCCGACTCTGTTATAGTCCAACATCTCGCAGGATATTTTTGAACATCTGGACGTCTTACACATAGCAAAACTCAGAGTTTTCATTACCTTTCTTGAAAATATTTATCAGTAAAACAATTAAAGACTCATCCATTAAGAAATAGAAATATCTCATTTTTTAGGTGAAAGGAACTGAGTAAAATACTTAAGGTGAACTACATTGCAGAAAATATGGCCAATAGAAAATAGAAATCAACATTTGTACCATAGATCAGATTTGAATGAGTTGACTACGAAATGGTTCTAATTATTAAACTCTGAAAAGACAAATTGCTTGGAATATTTTCCTTGAAAATTAAAGATATCTCTCTTGTCAGAAGCATATTACACCTTAAGGACAGCAGGCCTATACAATGGTGACCCAGCTGTGTATTTCAATTAGTTCATGGTTCTTTAGTTTACTTGTTTGAATAAGACTTAATTTACCCAGGAATAAGGGTAATGTGAAGAGGTAATACTAATACGGAGGAGAACCCCTTTTCTTTGAAGATTGAAATTTTTAGTCGATTCTTCAGCAAAATAATTTTTTACGGAATGTCCTGGTCTCTTCTTTTTTTTAAAAATCTAAATCATTTTGGCTAAAAAAAAAAAGAAAAAAAAATGTCGGGCATTTTCCCTGGGAATCTTTCAGACATGGTTTTTGGTAATGGTGAAAACTTAATTCTTGTGTTTTGTTGCTGGTATAATCAAAAATTATTAATTTTTTGCGGACAAAAAAGAGCTTTTTGTTGTAGGTAACAATGGAGAGTTAAAAGTTCATGATATTCTATTCACATGGATGGAAGCTTATGAAAATTGCTCTAAAGAACACATGATTCTCGCTAATATAAACAAGAACACTATGCTTGGAATACGTCATATCGAAGACAACAAAAAGTATTGGATTGGATTAAGACAGATGTACATCTATCAAAAAGGTGAAATTCATTTTCATTCATCGTTATTATGATTTTATTGTTATTTTTGAATCGTGCATTTTAGTAAAAACGGAAAGAAACAGATAATAAATGTTAAAACAAAAAAAAGCTAAATCTAAAACAGTCAATTACTAGTATAACAAAATTGATAACAACTGATAAAAGCATTCTTAAGAATAGTCTAGAGAATAATGCATAGAGGTAGTTAACTGCTTTGAAAACCTTGGTGATCCTGAGGGACTTAATCGATTTCTTAATTTCAAAAAAGTTTTTCCTACAATAAATCTTTTAGTCATCTCTTTGCTTCACATTTGTAATCGTTACTTGTTTAGAACTTATCTAGATTTATGGGAATTAATCTAAAAAAATAGATCCATACAATGATACAAGTTTTATTTATAAGGCAAAAGCAAAATTCAATACCATCCTCATTTTACTTAAAAGCTTGGTCAGAAGAGTGTTTTGAGATAATATTTTTTAGAAAAAAGAATAGATTTTAGACAATTATATTTGTATCTTCTTTTAAAGAAAAGTTGTGTTTTAAAGAAACAAATCTTTTATAAATTTGGTGATATCAATTGCTTCTTTTTTTATATTTTGAGAGCATAAATGTAACATTGCGTGGAAATAAAACTGACCTTTAATGAATCTTAAACAGGATTCATGCTACAAAAATCGTGATAATTTCTTTGATCAATCTTGCAGACGATGTAAATGTTCAAAAGTTATAATGAAAAATAATTTATAAACATTTTATAAGAATATTTCAAAATGTTACATTTAAGTCACCAGAGTCACTCAGGTAACCTTTTGTCCATTGCTATCTTCGGGCGTTTTTGGTCGTGTAGAACTAGCTTAATAAATTGTTACCTACTTGTAATAAATGATATTTATCTTCTTTTTTCTTTGCTTTTGGGCAACAGGGTTTTATCTATCAGTTTATTTTATACTTCTGTGAACCCTTTGAATTGTTACTTTATGATCAGGTGATCGTTGAGGTCCTTGGGCCTTTTGTGTTAATATATGTAGTACATTGAATAATTGACCTAAAATGGTTTCTTTCCTATTTACGACCGGGTAATCAATTTGAAAGATTTTTGGTTCAATAGGCCGACATATTGTAAGTCTGTTCCAACTGTAATTTGGCAGAAATTTTCTGCAGACCAAGAATCTGTGCAGGTGTTATTCTTCGTGTTGTTCATGTACGGATAAACAGCAGTGGTTTCTTAAGAAGTAAAGGAGAAAATATTCATTTAAATATTTTTCTGCTATCACTCAAACGATATTTTTTCGACTTTTGAACATCATGGGATCGATTTTACAAACTTTTTAATGTTTTCAGGTCGAAAAATCTTTGTTTGAAATTGATTCCTTCTTTAAAAGTATATCAATCTTCATCATTTGAGTGAATACACTGTACTTTTTTTCAGATATGAAATCGTTTCTATGTTCCTTTATTCAAAAGTATAATTCAATTGGTCTCCTAACATATTCAAGAGAAGATTGCTCGATAAATACACCATACCTTTGTTTAGAAGGTAAGGAAAGGTCAATTTATGTATTACATGAAATATTTTACTTGCATCTGTTGTTGCAGAGTGTAAAATGACAATAATTACATGTATTGTGAATACAAACTGATCGTTGATTTGACTTTTGGTGAAAATACTCTTTGGCCATACCTTATTTCTACAAGTTTCTTTGAATTCATAGAGAAATTTACTTATTTTTCAATAGATTTCTTTAAAATTATCGACTTGTTATGTATTTTCTAATATACCTTCACGAAATGATTGATAGAAAGGTCGGTCCGTGTTTGGATTGCCGTAGGTTCGCGCACTAGCCGCTACAAGCCAAGTCTATGAGAAATAGAGCTTCGCCAATGCCTTGTAACCTTGAAGAAGGTTGCAAGTCTTTCGGATGATACCTTAATTACCAAAATTCTAGGTCATGGTAGGTATTTGGACAGTAAATATTCAATACTGTTGTACTATTTTGTATTCTTTCTTATATATTCTGAATAGATATAGATTTAATTAATTACTTTCATGCATAATTATAATCAATTTTAACCCGAGGCAGGCTATTTACAGATGAATTGGTTTTACAGGAATAACAACAATCATGTTACAAGTCAGCATTATGACTCACGGCAGGTGTGAACGGTCAACAGGGATGTTTACTCCCACAAGACACCTGATTCCACGTTTTGGTTTTTCAGAAATATGTGTTTTATGCTCTTTTCACAGACCTCTATTGGTTTTGGAATTTTTCAGATCGAGCACTGTTCTTTATATATCACATCTTAAAAATATGAACACAAATCAAAACATTTGCTGACACTTGCATTTGCTCACTGGTGCTACAACAAAGATCTTAATTCTTCTTTTCAAAAAACGTGTACGTTTTTATCAAAAATAACTAATAATATACATAGGTATATTTAGTATATATCTAATTATCTATGCAAAAAATGGTGCAGTATAAAACAATAATTCATAGCAATTCATGACAGCGAAATCATTCACACTGTGCTCCTATCAAATACCATCACTTTCTTTTCCTGATTACAGTAAAAAATAGAAATGGAGCTCTGGACATATCGTAGAGCATGAAGATCGCTATAAAGTGAACTTGCGGATGGCGGACAAGTACAGATACAGTAAATGCATGTGCATTGTGTTTTGGATAATTGTTGTCGCAACAAATAGTGTGCACGGCTTTATTTACATCTCTTATGTCTTATTGAAATGTAATTATTTTTATATGGATAAAAAATTGCAAATTTTTATCATACCATTGTGAATCAATTTAAGAAGAAATCTTTCTCATATACGTTAGAGTAGATTTATTGAGTTGAAAAATTTTTGATCACAGAATTAGAAATAAGATTACTCTCTTCCTTCAATTTTATTGAAATATCTTTAAGTACGCAAATTCATACGCTAGATATATTTTTTTAAATAGATAAATGTGTATATTAGCGTAACTTATTGTACAATTATTATCATATATTATTGTAAAACTTAGTAAATGATATATGACTAGATATTATGTATGGGAGAGGATTATCAAAGTTTTCGGAATTTGTGTTCAATAAAATATGTTCAAAATAAAACCAACAAATTTGACCATCTAATCATTAGTTCAGGATAAAGTAATTACACGCAAATAATATTTTCAACCCCTTTACTCTGTCCACACTCAATTATAATTTAGTGGTATCTTATCTATGTCAAATTGTGTCAAGTTATGTCATTTGCTGTTCCTTCATTCCATCATATCTCAAAGGGCAGATCACTCTGCATAAAGCTACCTCGGATTTAGAATTCTTCAGAGATCATCGTTAAAAGCTTCTTAAACTATTTCAGACAACAAATTTTTGGTATAGTAATTGTCATTTAAGTAAACATTGACACGTATTTGCTCAGTCTAATACACATTTTACCGGACGATCATAGAAATGCTGGACCGCTGAGTGAGATATTGGACCTGTTCACAATATGTTAAACCGCTTACCTATCACAATGCGTCTAATCGATTAATTTTCATGTTCATTCGTTGCTGTTCAAGAGTGACGGAAGTAACCGAGTTTAAACTCAGTTTACATCACAGAAGACAGAACAAGATACATGCATGTAAAAAAAAAAAACATTAAAATTAAAATAAATGGTATATCAATTCATTTATTAATTTCATTCTCGGACAAAATGTGTTTTATTGACCCGCGAACCAAGTTGTTTGCATGAGGCCGTTTGGTTCATCGGTTCGACAAAACGCATGTTGCCCTCGATAGTAGTAAATAATAAAATAGTTTGAATTATATTTTGTTGCAATTATTGTATATTAAGGATACAGAATTTCCCAGTTTTTACGTGGAAACGATGAACCTTTCGTCAGACACGAACATCAATACACAATCACTGGCGGATTTAGAGGGGGGGCAGGGGGCCCGGGCCCCCCTTTTGAGTCTTCAAAAATACACAATATTTGATAAATCAATGTTTTTTGGTGTGACTGTGGGCCCCTACCCTGACCTCAAACTGGTCGGCCCCCCCCCCCTTCCTTTTCAAAATGTCTGAATCCGCCACTGACAATTACACCTCACTTCAAGTCAATATTGTTACTCAGGTAGAGGAGTATAATAGAGAAGACTTACTCAAAGATGTACCGGAAACGGAAATACCAGAAGGTGAACATTCATCGACAAAATATATCTTATAAAACACTTACCTTTTAGTATCTTTATTAACTTTTTGGAACTAAAATTTTCATGCACAAAACCTGAAAAGATAATTTCCCTATCTCTTCAGTTTCTGTATCTGAGTTTTGTTGATTCGGGATTGTAGGTACTATAAATTATACACACTTTTCTCAAAGTATTAATTTATAAAGCAGCCATAGTTCATGTTTTAAGATGGGTTGGTCCAACTTTCTTTTTAAAAATGGTAACAACATATTCTTGTGTTATATTGCCTATTTTAAGAAAACGTCGGATTACATGCAACTCATTTCTGACATAATAAATAATTCTTGTTCATGCAGTGAAACTTTTCCAGGATTTTTGGTCTTTTACTAGTTTTCCACAAGACCTGTGTACTGTGCCCAATCACCTGTTGATAAAAACCGTCCTACCATGTCTGATTTCTCGACCAGCAAGAACTTCACAGGTAAGCATTTCTGAAGTTGGAAATACAATTTTTTTTAAAGTTGTTTTATTTTTGTTTTATTTTGTTATATTTATAAAAAAAGTGGAGATGAGGATTATGATTTTAAAAAAAGATTCTTCCTTAAGTGACTTTTGTGAATCGTGAACATTTTCAGCCCTGGGGAAGAGAATAAGCTGAACCAGGTGACAGCAAAACAAAAGCAGGAAGTGCTCCTGTCTCCTTACACATAACTTCACTTACACTTCCTAATAGTGCTGAAAGCCATCTTAAGCTAAACTTAAAAAGTGGTGTACAGTTAGCGTCACACAGAAATGTGTCATTGCTTGTCCAACTTCTATATTTAAGAGCCCAAGTGCTTCAGAGAATTTCAGTTCACAACTAGTGCTAATTGTAACGGGAACCGTTACAGATGTTCCCCAAACGCTCCCCAACTCCCTTTTGGTGCCATATTCCCAGTAAGCCTTATTAAATAAGACAACGTCTGTGCATTTTTGACTTTAACAACGTTTTCCAAAAGGATACCAATTATATTCAAATTTTAACATTGCATGCGTGCCCATGTGAATGCACGTGCATAATGATCATATGATCTTGTCTACACTTTCTATATATTAAAATTTACTTTATATGAAAGCATTTAGTCCAAAAGTATTAAAAATCACTCATTCAAGTGTATTTTCAATTTCACTCGTTCCAAATGCACGCACGTGCGTGCACGTGCATGATGACCATACCTTCTTGTAGGAGTCCCTTATATCTTTCTATGTTCTGAATCACATCCTGTTTGCTTGAAAAACAA